TGTTATCTAGGGTATTCTAGTTATGATTGCCCCTTGTTTGGCACTAACTTCACAATGGGATCCATGGGAGAACTCATGGGGGGAACAATCACTATAATTAAACATTTTGAGAATTTTCTCAACATAGTTTGTCTGCGTTATAGAAATACCCTTGTTAATCCGTTTAATCCTAATACCAAGGATTACATCAACCTCCCCCATGCCCTTTATGGAAAACCTTAATGATAACAAACTTTTAGTTTCATCAATTTGAAGGTGATTAGGTATTATATAGTTTTGTAGTTAGGTATTATTTGTATATTTAAGTACTTTACATATACCAAAATATACCGTATTAGCATTAGATTATGCTTAGACATTAGGCTTCTTTACCGGTTGTGGCTAATGTAACAACTTTCTGATTCTATATTTGAGTTTGTTATGTAAATTTACTTTTTAGATGCCCAAGAGATAGCATCTCCCCCAAGCAAAAATACCTAACCATTTGTAGAAGAATGATCTTCAAGATGGGTTATCCAACTTGCATGATAATATCCTATTAAAACTAAAGGATACCCTAGATAACATAATCGATAAGTCATCGTTCTCTTTAAGTACTTGAACATTCTCTAAATTGCTTCCTAATGTTGCATACTAGGATTGTTGGTATACATACTCAACCTCCCAACCGCATAAACGATGTCATGGTGGGTGCTAGTCATGACATACATCAATCCACATATCGCCTTGTCTCGGAGGCGAAGCCAGTTTGGACATTAAAAAACATGGTACAATCTCTTTAGCTTGGGGTACAATAGCATAGAACATGTTTACAAATAATTTTTTTTATATACATAAAACAATTTTTTGAGGATGCTATAGTACCCCCAACGCCCCATGTAGCTCCGCCACTGCCTTGCCCTTTTTTGGTATTAGGATTAAACGGGTTAACAAGGTTGATGTTATCTAGGGTAATCTAGTTATGATTGCCCCTTGTTTGGCACTAACTTCACAATGGGATCCATGGGAGAACTCATGGGGGGAACAATCACTATAATTAAACATTTTGAGAATTTTCTCAACATAGTTTGTCTGCGTTATAGAAATACCCTTGTTAATCCGTTTAATCCTAATACCAAGGATTACATCAACCTCCCCCATGCCCTTTATGGAAAACCTTAATGATAACAAACTTTTAGTTTCATCAATTTGAAGGTGATTAGTGCCAAAAATCAACATGTCATCAACATAAAGACAAATTATCACCATGAAACGAGATTAATCAACCCGACTATAAACACATTTTGAAACCACATGAAAAATAACTTCATTAAACTTTTGATGTCATTGTTTATGTGCTTGTTTCAGCCTATAAAATGATTTGACAAGTTTACACACCTTATTCTCGTTATCATACATAACAAAACCTTATGGTTGTCTCATGTAAACTTCTTCATCAAACTCTCCTTTCAAAAAGGATTTTAACATCCAACACTCTAATGGTAGAAATTCGTGTCACCGGTGCATTTGTGTTAAAATAATCAGTATCGGTTTTTTGTCTAAACCCTTGAATGACCAATTGGGATTTGAACTTATCAATAGTTCCATCTATCTTCATCTTCTTTTTGAAGATCCATTTGCAACCCAAAGGTTTAGAAATTGGATCAACATTGTTTCTACACAAGCCTTGCATCAATGGTGTGAGAATGACTCCTTATTACCATTTCATATAAATCTAAAAATAATAAAAATGATTCATAGTTAACATTTTTTCTGTTGTAGATGTTGTATATTGACAACAAACGATTATAAGGGGATGAACAAAAGTGTCATATCGTCGATCAATTACTATAACAATTGGTATGACAAAAGAAAGAAAAAAAATACAAATTAAGGAATGGAGGGTTCAGAAAGGTTGCCTTGAAAATAAGATATGGTGATGTTGAATGCGATGATGAAGATCTGTAAGAAATTATTGAGAAAGTTAGGAGAAAAAGGAATAATGATTAAAAAACAACATTGTAGATTTTGAGAATGAGAAATTTTGATATATTACAAAACAAAACATTTCTTTTCTACATTGAACTGAATAATATAACATCGTGATTCATATTCCTTATTAACATATGATGAGAATAATATAACATCTTAATTCATATTCCTTATAAACATATGATTATATAGATGATGTCTACTGGATTGTAATTTCAAAGTAAGGGGAAGGATGCTACCCTATCATAAGATTTCCACATTTTAGGATGTGATAGTTATTCATAGCCAATTGATCGAGATTGGCAAGAACACAACCATCTAGAAAACTACATGTTAACACAGAAAATGAATTATTGTAACACGTGGAATCCTGGTATGTTCACTATTGCCCCTTGTGTATTGATAATTGCATTTTGGTCCTTGTGTTGTACGTGTAGTGTACCACATGGTTAGCGTACTCATGCGAGGCTTGGACGTGGTTTCGGACACGTACGCGGGGCGTACATCCATGTACATGGGGCATACATGTGCTTTGATGAAAACTCTGATTTCGGGGTTGGACACTATATAATCATCCTTATGGCTCATGAAACCCTTATTTCTCAGCCTCCTCTGACCTTTTAGCCTCATATTCGAAACCTTAAGCCTCTCATTTGTGTTTTGAGCTCACAGTGTCCATTTTGGTGTGTTTTGGTCCGTATTCAAGAAGTAGAAGCTTGGTGCAAGGTGGTGGATCAAGAAAGAGCTTGTGGATCTTGATTATTTGCTTCATTTCCAGCTTGTTTGAGGTAAAAAGCTATGAACTTATTAATTTATGGCTTAGATCTATTATATATGAGTTTTGGTCCCTTTTTGCCCCAAGAATGAGATCTAGTGGTTGATACCACTCCATGAGCTATAAGTTGCCACTCTTGGTGTTTCTGAGGTTCAAGGTCCATAAAGTTGGCACCTTTAGGGTTTAGAATCCCCCATGCATGAGATTATGTCCATTTGGTGAAAGTATTATGTTATATCTTGAAGTTGGGTCTTGTTAGGGCATGCAAAGTCACCAAGTTAGTGACTTTATGATTATGGACGTTTATTAGGGTTGAGATCTGTGATTTGAACTTATGGACTTAAGCATTAAGAGTTTAAAGTGAAATTTGGCTTAACGGGTAAGTACGTTGGGTGTACAAGTCTGTACACGCAGCGTACAAGTCTTTTTGCATGTACGCTTGGCGTACAGCTGAGTACGCAGGTGGAATTTTTCATGTTTGGGCTTACTTTTGGGCTTGGGTGTTTGAGTTCTTATTAGGCCATCTGAGTGCAAGTGTTTTGGACTAGAAAAAATGGTTGGGCTTTAGGGTAAGGCCCATATAAGGGGTTTGGGCCCAATTTGGAAAATTGCGACATAATTGGGCCTTGGTTGATTAATTGGCTTTTGGGCCTTTTAGATTGTGAGTTTGGGTCTTAGTCTTGGACCAAGCTAGGTTAGGGGTAAAATGATCTTTTTACCCTAAGTATGGATTTATGGTTATGGATTGGAACCCAAATGCTAATTGGGTAATAGTATTGATTAGCTTGGGGATTCGTTGGACCAACAACCAAGGATTTTTTAGTGAGATTCAGCAGTCGAGGTGAGTTTACTCACTGGGTTTAGCGGGTCTAAGGCACCAAAGCCGGCCCTTATGGTTTATGTTCGGATGCTAGGAGTCTGCATGACCCTTGCATGTATTATGTGCTGCTACGTATACCGGGCGTGGCTCGATGTCGGGCGAGACCCGATGACTGAAAATATATGTTGTTGTGTTATGATCATTGTATGTATTAGCACGATTATGTAATATATATGTTGTATGTGTATAGTGGGCGGAGCCCGATGCCAGGCGGTGCCTAAGAATAACAGATCATGTATACCGAGCGGGGCTCGATGTCGGACGGGGCCCGATGTAGGGTGGGGCCCCAGTATGTGATTTATTATGTATGGTATGGGGTAGTTTGGGGAACTCGATAAGCTTGTGCTTACGGTTTTCATGTTATGTTTCAGGTACTTCTGGTTCCAAGGGGAAGAGCTCGGGATGACTGCATCGCACAAACCACATGGGTTCCGCTTTTGAGATGTTACTCTGACTGATATGATGTATGATACACTTATTTTCATTTGGTTTGTATGGATAATGTTTTTGGAATACTGTTTTATTTAAATTAAAAATGAAATTTTTGGATCATATTTTTGGGACGTTACAATTAACATATTTTAAAATGGACAAATCCACATGTTTCATAAATACACAACAAAAATGTACAACGTTAGTAATCAATTATAGAAACCTCGTCAATTCAAATGATTAAGATCATATTTTAGAAGAAAATAGAAAAGAATGCATGTAGAATTCAAAATGGACAATACTCACATTAGCTCGATAAATAACATTATTATAGCTATATACATTTTCTGAGCCACGTGGTCATTGCTAGAAAGAACAGAAACAGCTGGTTTATAATAGTATAAGGGTTTAAATAGACAAAAAAAAATGTTTTTTCTAAGCAATTACGTATAATAGTTTTTTCTTGAATTTTTCCATATAATAGGTTGGATCGAAGGAATGACGAGTTCTTTAGGTTTTCTTGTCACTAAGCATATATGTAACCATAAACATAAAATCAAATGGTTTAATAGATACAAAAATAATATATTGGTTTTTCTAAGCATTCAAGTATAATAGGTTAGATGTTTCTTCGGTTTTCTAAGCATTTTGTGTATCCTTTCCATTTGTATTAGCATTTGGCGTCCGGACCAAGGCTGGGACACATGTTAATGGAATAAAAATTCAAGTTTTTTGGCACATCCAAAAAGGTGGGCCAAGGACTCTCGCGTCTAGAAAAAAGACGTGAATGCCCTTCCCCTCCCCATCTACAAAAGTATCCCTAGAAGGCTTGTCAAGTCCCATCCCTTTATGCATTGTATAACATACAGCCTTAAGAGTCCGCTTTATCACTTGAAAAAAGAACAATAAAATGAATATGATATTTGATTATGAAATTTAAATGGAGATGGAAACAAATATGAAACAAAACTACCTACACAAAGTTCTCTTCTAACCCCAGAAGACTATGTCAAGGGTAAATAATTGTTAAACATTAATCTCATGCATTTCTTCACCTTCATACATCAATTTTGAAAAAATTTAAGGGAAGAGTCAGTTCTTGATGAGGAACCCAACAGCTAGACCAATCAAGGCGAGGGCAATAACGACAATGAATGAAACACCACCACCCCCTTGGCTTTTGTTGTTTCCTCCACGCGTCAACAGTTGCTGTGTGTTTTACCAAGTAGGATGCAAAAATTATGAACATAAAAAGGTTTAATGAAGTAAAAAAGGAAAAGGCTTCAAAAGCTCGAATGAGGGATAAATGTCGTCTCACCATTTCTTGTCGAATTTTGTTGCTTTGTTGGACAGCAGCATTCTTCTCATCAGTCAACTGTGATATGAGAGATCTTGCCTGCAAATTCACCAATGTTTATATATATATATATATATATATATATATATATATATATATATATATATATATATATATATATATATATATTACCATAGTTAAAAAAAAAAAAAAAAAAAAGATTATGAACATGAGATTGTGAAAACTCACCTCTGAGGAATTATCATCAGAATCCACATATTGTCTTGAAACCTGCAAGCATGAAGAAGAATCATCATGTGATGTTACAGATGGATGAAAGTAAGTACGTATTTGAAAAAGAAATTAATTAATTAAGGTGTAATCAACCTGATCAGAAGTTTTTGTATTAGTATTAATCCCACCATCTGTGAAGGACACCTTTGGTGAAGGTGCCCCTTCATCAGGTTCCTCAGGAACAGGTGAAGGTGGTTGGGGTGGAGGAAGATATATCACTTTCAATTTGCACTCTTCCACAACACGTCCTGCCTGCTTACTAAACTGTAAACTCAAACCATTATATCATCATCAGCTAAAAATACAAATTCATTTTACTAATTAATTAATCTCAAGCAAATCAGAATATGAATTAATGGCAGCAGGTTTTTTTACCATTTCCGGGGCAATGTCCTTTGGGGTTACTCCTGGGCTTGCAACTACACTCTGAAGTAGAAACTTGTCTTTGCATTGCATGTCAGGAGGAGCTTCCTTCTGAGCCTGCATGGTAACTGTCGCAAAACCACAACACAAACATATCAATTAATATTCAATGCTTGAGTAATGTATGTTAACGACTCCTGTCTTCATTTCATTATATGATTATGTTGTTAATTTCTTTGATGTATAAATGTGGAAAAGCTAGGGAGGCTACGTTAATTAATGCAAAAAAAAAAGCACGCAGGAAAGGTTTCATTTTAAAGATTAGTTCAAAATTGTTTGGTGTTTCACAAGACAAGTTTCTGATTCTAAGGTATAGGAAAGAAAACAGATAAAAAAAAAAGTTTAGTTTATGATAAAAACTGACGCACCTATTACGTCACATGTTGATCGTGGCATAACTACACCAGTATTCGGCCGAACGCAATACTTCTTTGGATTTGTTGTCTTCACCTGAAATTATGATTTTCTCCAAATTCAGATTATATATATATATATATATATATATATATATATATATATATATATATATATATGAACGCAACACAATCTATTTAAATCCCACCACATTTTATTTTAATTAAAAAAAAAATCTCTCGCTCTTCTTTATATATCACAAGTCACAACGAAATAGATCGACGTTATGAACAGGAATTACCTTAAATGCTACATGATTCTCGGTTTTATTCAATAACTGGAGAGAGCACGAGATCTGTTTCTTTAACTCAACTAATCAAATCAATCAAAGGCAACGAAAAGAATTAAATTAATATACCTTATATATATAAACAGAAGAACAATTTATGGGGTTGATTCGATGATATGATGCCATTGGATAACTTACATGGGAATTTGAGCTCCGTGGGTTCGACGTTCAAAAGCTCCCCTGTACTCATATTTTTTTTGTTTGCAGGTTATTTTGGATTCCCGAAAGAAGAATGAATAATCATAAAAATGTTTGTGATTTTTGGAAAGTTGGAGATTTATATATGATCCGGTATTCTCTCTGAAGGAGAGAAAGGAGGGGGGATTCGTTTTCTCTAAACTTCATAAAATATTATTATATAAAAATTAAAAAAAAAACAAAATCGAGAGAGATCAAGGACGAAACATGATTTGACCTTTAAAGGAATTTTAGCTTGACCAAATAAAAGTTTTAAAATGAATGCACTACTTCCCTCCTATGTGGAAAGAAATTTGTTACGTGGATGCATCACGAGTTTGCGTTTGCCACCGATTATATATATGCACATTATTTTAATAGTTTTAGTTGAACAAATAAATTGATTATCATATCTCAATTACAATTACTCTTTTGTTTAAATTAATTGTTCCAATCCAACCTCGATAGTGATGTTATTTCACTCAATACTTTATATACATTCTCTGATTTAGGATGCGATTTATCAGCAGACAAGAACTCATGAAACACACCCTCCACTTGTACACAACTACACCCTGGTGTTTTCTTAACACCATTCCCTCTCATCACACTTCTAATCTTCTTTACCTCATCCCATTTACATCTACTAGCACATAAACTTTCCATAAGCACATAAACACCGCTATCATTTGGATCCAACTTAAGAAGCTTTTCAGTAGCAATTTTACCCAGATCAACATCACCATGCATCCTACAAGCATTAAGAAGCGCTCCCCAAACAACTTTATCAGCTTCCATTGGCATTTCTCTTATCAACTCATAAGCTTCATCCAAAACCCCAATTCTTCCAAGTAAATCAATCATGCAAGCATAATGCTCCACTCTTGGTTTAACCCCAAACTTGGTTTCCATCTCTTTGAAGTAGCTTCTTCCTTGAGTGAGTAATCCTCCATGGCTACAAGCCGATAGCACACCGATAAATGTAACCTCATCTGGTTTATATAATCCTGTTCCTATCATCTCTTTGAAAAGACTAAGAGCCTTTATTGCATGCCCATGGGAAGCAAAACCCACAATCATGGAGTTCCAAGATACTAAATCTTTATCATGGATTTCATTGAAAATCTCTTCTGCTGCATCGATCTTCCCGCATTTGGCATACATGTCTATGAATGCATTTCCTACTGTCACTGTGGGTTGAATCCGGTTTTGCTTGATGTAGTAGAAGTACATCCATTGGCCTAAATCTAAGCAACCTGATTGACCACAAGCAGAGAGCACACATACTAAAGTGCTCTCTATAGGAACCAAACCTTCATTTTCCATGTCCAGGAAAAGTTCTAGAGCTTCTTTTGGTTTGTTGTTTTGTGAATAGCCTGCAATCATAGCATTCCACGATACAATGTTTCTCTCAGGCATTTCATCGAACAGTTTCTTTGCTGAAACCAGCTCATTGTTTTTGGCATACCCGTTTATCATACTCGTCCATGAGAAAACATCTTTGCTTCTCATATTATCAAACATCTCTCTAGCAGTAACTGAAGAACCACATTTGACATACATATCTAATATTGAATTCATTAGATTGAGACTCGTATTCAGATTCATTCTTTTGACATAATCATGTATAGATTTCCCCAACTCCAAGTCCTCTTTCTGAGAACAAGCAGAAAACACTGCTATCATCGTGATCTCATTAGGTTGAACCCCACTAGCCTCCATCAACTCGAAAACTCGCAATGCCTCGTCTGGCATGCCTTGTTTCGCGTACCCATTTATTAAACTAGTCCAAGAAAAAACATCCCTCTCACAACTTTCATCGAACACCTTTCGTGCACAACCCAACTGTCCTCTCTCACAGTAAAAGTGAACCAACCCGTTTTGCACAACCAAATCACAATCAAAACCCACTTTCCAAACCAAAGAATGTAACGATTCCCCCGCTTGTAAACCCTCGCATGCTTTCAATCCAAACACAAAGCTCCTCCTGTCCATTTCCACGCACTTTCGAACCATTAAGCGAAATAAAGACATCCCCTTTACATTCAAATGTGATTTTAGATACCCTCTGATCATGATGTTCCACATATAAACGTTGGGATTAGAGAACTGGTTGAAAAGGCGATGAGCATACTTTATATCTCCAGTGTCTGATAGAGCACAAAAGGTTAAGATTCTGCTGACAGGGAAAACGTGGAAAATGAGGCCGGTTCTAGTAAATTGTGCTTGAATTTGCCTCAACTCGGCCATGGAATTGCATGATTCTACAGCTAATAGAGTTGGGTTTGTGATGGAGAGATTGGTTTGTGATGAATTCCATGTGGGTTTTGAGAGGCTGGAGAATAAATGGATCTTGAATGAAGCATTAAAAGGATAGATGTGCTGGATATCATGAAAAGGACGGAGTTTCATTTGAATTCGTCGAGGAATTCGAAGAAAAAAAAATCTGCTTGTGGAAGTGGAAGACCAAAGGGCAAAGAGGGCTCTCTTCTCTTCTTGTAGTAGTTGTAGTAGTAATTGATCTTATCTTATGTGGGCATGGCGTCCCTGGTGCCGATTTTGGAGCCAAATCTGAAATCAATGCGAAAGTCAAATCACAAATCAATTTGGAGTAGTAATCGATTTAAAGAATCGAATTGAATAGCAACGGTCATCATCACAAAGCCAACCTACATATCATCTCTTCCTCCGGGCCTGGTCCTCTACTCCTCAGCTGTTATCGATCACTTGAATAGTCGAACTCCCGCTCATTCCCTTCTCTTGAATTGTTGTCTCGCTGGGTTCCTTTTCGTTCTCAGTCAACGGCGCTACTCCCTCCGTACCTCGCTATACTCTCCCCACGGTGTACTGTCGCCCTCAGTAGGCTTTGTGTTTGATCTTTTAAAACATCTTTTAATATATTTATTTTATGATCAATTTAACCCTTATTAATATACTTTTTTTCCATTTAATGCTTTTTAACCGGTTGCAATTTGGCAACCGGTAACAATACTCACATCGTATCAATTACACAATAAAGGTTAAGTTTAAAAGATGTTGTTGGCTTCAAAATCACTAAATCGTTTCTCATCGATTTCTTCTTTCCTCGCTATTGTTGCAGAATGGGTGATCGATCAAATGGTTTGTTCTTCTTCTTCCTTAACTTCAAACTATAAAAACTTGTTGTGAACGACCAAATATATGGACTTCGACTACCCGGAAGAACCCTGGCCGACATTTCATTTCGTGCCCAAATTCTCTGGTATATGAAATTCTAGCCTTGATTGATTTGATTTTGTAATGCTTACTCAGATACTACATTTTTTTGTAGGATCCTTCAAAAGATTGTAAATTTTTTGTATAGGTAGATGAGGATTTGGGTATGCACTCGTATAAGAGTAAACTTAATGAGTTGCATAGGGAGAATATGGAATTGTTCAAGGAAAATATGAACCTTTCAAAGAATAATATGGATCTGGAGAAGGAGAACTTGGTTCTGCAGAAGGAGTTAATGAAGCTTAAGGTCAATGACAAACAAGAGCCTGATATATTCCTATGGAGGTTGATGATGTTTGTTATTGTTGTGGTTAGCATCTTCATTTTGTTTCTGTTTATGTAATAGGACTAGTTAGGTTAATCTAAAATGGTTAATTATGTAATAGGGTGATGTTGGTTTTACCCTTTTTTTAACTTTTGTAATGGAACTGTGATGTTGGTTTATTAAGCACATTTGTAATGGATTTGTGATTTTGGTTATTATACACATTTGTTTTTTGAAGATAATGTGGTTTTGTGAGTACTTGGATTGTATCAGGTTCCTTTGTTATAGTTGGACAGTTTTACCCTTGTGTTATAGTTGTGGTTTTGTGAGTTCTTGGACATTTTTAAGATTTTTGTTATGGTTCATTTGATTAGTATGGAATGGAATGAAATGAAGATTGGAATAAAAAATTAGAACACAAATGGAATGAAGATTGGAATTAGGGACAGAAAAGAGAAACAGGAATGGAATCAATAATACAACAGAGCTGGAATGAATATTGGAATCAGGAACAGGAATGGAATGAAGATTGGAATCAGGAACAAAAAAAAAACTGTAAATGGAGCCTGGACACGAACAGTAGCTGCACAGGAAAGTAATATGATGCAAAAGTCATTTTCGAATCAGGGACAAAAAAGAATCGAACCAAATGCATAATGTTTGAATAATGTTTGTCTCAACACCAAATGCATATTGTTTGAATAAAAACCAACAATCACTTTCTGATAAGCAACCCAATGGATGTACTAATGTGGGACAGAATGAAGATTGGAATGGAATTGAACCTAGAACACGAACAACATCAGTCATTTAAGCTTACATTTTTGTTATGCTTTTACCCTTTTCCTAAGTTTTCTGCTTACATTTTTTTTGCATTCTTGAATTGCGATTCTTTACCCGAAATCAGTAAAAACGCAGTTGCCATTACAGGTATGCTGGAAAAAAATAATTTTTTAATGTTGACGATTTTGCCCTTGCTGATGCTTTCGGTTATTAGCACACCAAACAACCACCATTACCATAAAATTGAGTATAATTACATGTTTTTTTCCAAAACAAACAAAACTAAACAGAAACAAACAGAAATTGGTCCCCAATTTCATGATTTATGTGCTCTCCATTGTCAAATTCTTCATCTGAATAGCTCAATTCACCATCATCAGATGACAGTTCAGGCAATTTCATTTCTCCTTGTACCAAATCTTTAAAAAAACGATCCCATGTTGTCTTGTCCATTGAAGAATGAACATATTCTTCCTCTTCATACTCATCATCTGTGTCATTCAAACCGTCCATATACACTTCAACTAATTGCTGGGAACTTGAAAACATAGTCCCTGTTTACGGCTTCCTTAAACAATAAATGAAAACAGCAAATTAAGAAAAACGACACCTCATGCCTTCGACGAACAGAATAAACAACAAAGATGGATCGATTACCTTTTTTTCGTGAAGCTTCCCCTGATCCACGAAGCTTTTTGCTCGACCCTGCTTTCCTTTATTCTTTTCAGTAATTCCGATCGCAGACTACAAATGACGATGGTTTTCCCGCATAGTGATAATAACGTGTTTAGGTTATACCGGATAATTAAGAT